CTGCCTCCCGAGTGCTGGGATTAAAGACGTGCGCCACCAACACCCGGCTCCAAGAACTCTTTTAACCAAATGGGTTTGTGTGACGCAGGTTCAGGAGTTTCACCAGTTGGAGTCAAATCTGCAAGTTTGCCAGTTTCTCGCCGACACCCGAAAGTTCCTCCATCAAATGATCAGGACCATCAATATCAAGGAGGAAGTCCTGATCACCATGCAGATCGTGGGGGACCTTTCCTTCGCCTGGCAGTTGATTGACAGGTAGTGTGGGCGGTCACACTGAGAGTTCACCTCGATGGAGGCCACACCCCACCTGCTCACCACGTGTCCGTCTTTACAGCTTCACCTCCATCATGCAGGAAAGCATAAGGGTCAACCCGTCCATGGTCACCAAACTCAGGGCCACGTTCCTCAAGGTAAGCAGGGGCCGGCAGTGGCGTCCTCTGGCAGAGAAACAGTCACTTCTGCTCTTCCGTCACTGGTCAGCGTGAGATGCTATCTGCTCTGCGCTATCCCTTTATGAAATGGTTCATAAACATCTATGGAAATGCTCTGGGTCCCGCGGCAGCAGACATCCCGCCACGGTTTAGTTCCTTATGCAAAAGTGAGCATCCATTTCATGGGTATGCAAATTTGTTTTCATCTCTAACATAAACGGTAAAAGTGGTTTGCATGTCTTCAAGTAAATCTGCAGCTTGCTGTTGGGAAATGTTTGACCTGTATGCCTGTGGTGTGAACTGGCGCCACACACCGCTCACTTTCTTGGGCGGAAAGGAGTCATGAATGCAAAGTGCTCCAGTGGCAAGCAGCTCTCCTGCTTCAGGGTACATCAGAGTTACCACAGCAGCCCCTTTACCTCACTGCCAGCATCCGCGGTGGGCCTGGTGACCGGCGTGTCTCACAAGTTAACAATGCTGCCGGTGCTCAGCCATGGTAATAGATGGCTGCCGGGCCGTTTGTTTTGTGTTAATGTACCGTCAGAAACTGTTGAGGCGTTGCTGGTAGTTTCCCTCTCTTGGGTGAAGCACAAATGTCGGGTTGTAAATTCCGCTTTGGGGAAAGAGGTTTCTAGGGCATTTATGAAACAAGAAACAGATGTGTGTCACGTCCTTGCAGCTTGCCTCTGCCCTGGACCTTCCCCTGCTGCGGATTAATCAAGCGAATAGCCCTGACCTCCTCAGTGTGTCTCAGTATTATTCGGGAGAACTGGTGTCCTATGTGAGAAAGGTAAGAAGTGCCCCTGGCTGCATTTCAGCGACAAATAAAGAGTGCACACTGGTGTCCTGTCCTCCAGGTTCCTTTCCAGAAACAACAGATGCCCAGCAAACAGTTTTCACTCCAGCTGTAGACATGCAGGTGTGATCTGCCTTCCTAAGGAGATCCCACTGGTTTCCATGCTCTCGCTCTCAGAGTAGCAGAAGCTGAGGAGCAGAGGTGACGTTGCCTCTTCAGTGTCAGAGCTGGCCGCTCAGTGGCGGAGCACAGCCCGCTTTCCCTTACCAGAACCCAGTCCAAGTCTTCATCAAGTCTTCATGAGAATGTTGGCCCTTGCCCCAGTCACGATGGATCCAGGCCCCAGTCATGTCTGAACTCAGAGTCAGCCCAGGTCATACATGGCAGAGAACTTCTGATGCTACCGACATTGTGAGCAGTGAGCTTTTAAGATCTGTGATAGGAGCTTGGTAAATCACCCTGAGCGCTTCCAGGATTCACTTCCCGTCCTCTGGGCAGTTGACGGTGGGAAGAAGTGAGCTTGTGCTTCCTGCTAGTTTTTGCTCTCTTTTGAGCTAGCTTATGGAGCACTGGCTGGCCCTGAGTTTTCTGTGTAGACCAGGCTGGCCTTGAACTCACAGGAGATTTTCCTGCCCCTGCCTCCCTGGTGCTGAGATGAAAAGCATGGGCTCTGTGTCCAGCACCGTTATTACCATTTAAAGATGATTCTTCTAAGTTTCTCAGCGCCTCTCTGTGAGCAAACAGCCATCCCACACACCGGTTCCCTTCCTTCTTGCTGTCACCTTCACTGTCATCAGCTAAGAGTTAACACAGGTGCTCAACTCTATCCCTGCCTGTCCTCTCATCAAAGGTTCTGCAGATCATCCCAGAGAGCATGTTCACGTCTCTCCTGAAGATCATAAAGCTTCAGACCCATGACATCATGGAAGTGCCCACCCGCCTGGACAAGGACAAGCTGCGGGACTACGCTCAGCTCGGCCCCCGCTACGAGGTGCCAGAGTCCTCTCGCTTCTGCTTTCAATGTTTAAAGCCCAAGCCATGGAACATCCCAGGCCTGTGGCTCCTGGCGCATCCCAGGGACCAGCGTCCCCCGTGACTGTGTCTCACACTCAGTGATAG